CGTTATTGGCACAAAATGGGTGTTTCGTAAAGAAGAAGGCATTGATTATGAAGAAACTTATGCACCGGTTGCACGTTTAGAAGCTATTCGTTTATTACTTGCATTTGCATCTACGATGGATTTTAAACTTTATCAAATGGATGTTAAAAGTTCCTTCCTTAATGGTATCATTCAAGAGGAAGTGTATGTCGAACAACCCCCGGGTTTCGAAGACTATGAGTTTCCCGAACATGTCTTCAAACTCAAAAAGGCGCTTTATAGTCTTAAACAAGCACCTCGTGCTTGGTATGAACGGTTAAGCAAATTTCTTTTGGACCATGAGTTCAAACGGGGTCAAGTCGACACTACTCTTTTTATCAAGAAAGATAACCAAGACATTCTTTTGGTTCAAGTTTACGTAGATGATATCATATTCGGTGCTACTAACGAGGTTTTGTGCAGGGATTTTTCTGATATGATGCAAAGTGAATTTGAAATGTCGATGATGGGAGAATTAAAGTTCTTCCTTGGGCTGCAAATTAGACAATGCAAAGAAGGAACATTCGTGTGTCAAACGAAATATTGCAGGGAATTGCTTAAAAGATTCGATGTTACCGAATCCAAATCCATTGACACACCAATGAGCACCTCTTGCTATCTCGACAAGGACGAAAAAGGTAAAGAAGTAGACATCAAGCGCTACCGAGGTATGATCGGCTCTTTACTTTATCTTACCGCGAGTAGACCGGATATCATGTATTTCGTTTGTATATGCGCTAGGTATCAATCATGTCCTAAAGAGTCGCACTTGGTTGCGATCAAAAGGATAATGCGATATCTCGCGGGCACGTTGAACGTAGGTCTTTGGTATCCCAAAGGTTCAACATGTCATCTTGTTGGCTATTCCGACTCGAATTTTGCAGGTTGCAAACTCGATAGGAAAAGTACCAGAGGTACTTGCCACTTATTCGGTCATTTGTTAATCTCGTGGTTTAGTAAGAAACAGGTTAGTGTTGCACTCTCCACCACCGAAGCGGAATATGTCGCTGCGGGAAGTTGCTAAGCCCAAATTCTTTGGCTAAAACAACAACTAGTGGATTTCGGCCTTATACTTGATCACATCCCTATTAGGTGTGATGATATGAGCACTATTAGTCTAACGAAGAACCCCGTTCTTCACTCGAGGACTAAACACATAGAAATAAGGCATCACTTCATACGAGATCACGTCCAAAAGGGAGATGTCACAATTGAGTTTGTTGAAACGAATCATCAATTTGCGGACATTTTCACGAAACCCCTTAGTAGGGAGAGTTTCTTCCACATTCGGAACGAACTTGACATTTTGGATATCTCTATGAACTAATCCATTCTTTTTATTGACTATACTAATTTGAGCGTCGAAGGCGCGATAAATTCTTTTTTGTAGGGCTTTTATTTCAGGTATCTCTTCCCTTGGCATTCAACCGAATTGGACTTAATGATTTCATTCCTGCCAAACTGTTTTTAATCGATTACTCCTCAAAGAGAAATCGATTAGAGGCGTCTGTCCATCTTAATCGATTAACCATCTTTGTTTAATCGATTAATAGCCTGAAGCGCAAACGTCTTTGGTTCTGCTCCACTTCTAATTGATTAATTAGTTTAATTTAATCGATTGGCCTCGGCTGTGTTCCTTAATCGATTAAAGAACCTTTTTTAATCGATTAATATTCGATTTTTTCTTCTCTTTATAATCAGACAAGGCCTTCGTCTTCAACTCCATCTCAGTTTCACAGAGACCGTGTGAAACCCTAGCCTCCTCTTTCAACTCCATCTTCGTTTTTCCTCAACAATTTCATCACCAAATCTCACCAAATTTTGTCAATTTCAAAGAGGAAAGATGCCAAGGTGCAAGAACGCTTCATCGTGTCAAGAATCGGTGGCAGAAGAAGGTGAGAGGCCATGGCGTCGTGAAGGGAGCAAGTACATCAAAATCCAAACCGGACTCGCCTTCAACACTGGGCTTCAGCCGAGAGGTTCCACAACACCTTTCTCACGAAGGAGATCGTCTCACCTAAGATTGTGGACAAGGACCTCATCAAATCGGTGACCTATGCCCCGAGTAAGTCTCTTTTCTCTCAGCAAGGTTTGCTTCGTTTCATCCATTTGACGTATGAATTCTTTTGTCCAAATCTTATACGTCAATTTTATGCAAAATCTTCGTACCACTAAGGAAGACTCGCCATCTCTCATTTCCTATGTTGACGGCAAAATCGTTTTCATTGACGGTACCGGTTTGACTTCTCTGTTTGGCCTTCGTCGAGGTGAAATTACCAAAAACTTAGATGAAACACTCCAAGATGAGGCAATTTGGAGACAACTTGGGTTAGATCATCGTGACCTCAAGTTTAGAAATTCTAGCAACCCGAGTGTCATTAACCTCACTTTGATTCAACGCGTCCAACAATACATCTTCTCCTATGTTTTGTTGCCCCATGATTCGAACCATGGCGTTGTCAACAAGGACGATATTCGTTTGTTTCACGTCCTATTGAACAATGTAAAATTTGATTAGGTTCACTTCTTTATCGTTGCACTTAGTGATGGAACTCGTTTTTCCCATCTCCGTTTTGCCATCCCCATTATGCATATCCTTACTCATTGCAAAATAGACCTTACTCGGGACACTCAGGTGCCGGTCAAGAAGACTTGCTACATCAAGGACACCAAGATGTAGTTTCACCCAGCCTTCAGATTTTTTCAGTAGTAGGATAGTAGTAGACCAGGGACAAAGTTCATTGTTGTAACCCAAAAGAATGTAATTTTCTATTTGAGTTATCTAATGAAAAACTCTGTCTCCCGCCTTTTAGCATTTTCATCGTTAAATCAGGGGTAAGGTTCATTGTTGTAACCCAAAAGAATGTAATTCTCTTTATGAGCTATCTAATGAAAACCTTTATCTCCTGTCATTTATTATAATCATACCTTGTGTGCCATCGTCTGCATGAAGTAGAAGTCTATATCTGTTTAACTCTTACCATTCAGGGACGACGTTCTTTCCCAGAGTGAAGATGGGCCCACCTGAACCGACCCATGCACTTAAGTAGCGAAACCTTAGTCAAACCTCGGGAACCGATACAACCGCTTCATCCGCCAATCGCCAAGTCTTTCACGTCTTTTAACCGTACTCGCCGCTTCCCAACGATCCCTTTCCCTTTACTATAAATAGGAAAAGATGGTTTTTTGCCGGCTCATTCTTTTCTGATCTCGTCAACATGAATGACAAAGCCCATGGTAAGGTTTTCATTGACCTAACCCTTTCTAGTACCTCTTCATCTTCAGATGACAATCTTCCTCCCTCTCCCGCTCAGTCCAATGACATGTGTGGGCTGAGTCCCGACGAATTCTCAAGACACTATCCACCACTTCGTCTTCCTGCGCCTTCACCTCCTAGTCCACCCAGGCTCCCGTCCGAGAGGATAGACTGGGACTCCATGACCCTCCAAGACTTCGCCTTGTAACAGAGGATGCGCAGGGCTAGACTTGGGCGTTCTTTCCAGGCCGTAGAGGCAGAACTTCCGTGTGAAAGCCGGACAGCTTCTCCAAACCTACCAAGGCCTCCTAGTGACGGTTCACCACCTGCACCACCTGTATCCCGACCTGGGACGTGGGAAGACTATGACATGGGCGAGGCTGACGATTCCACCGCGTATCCTTCGTCAGAGAGAAGGAGCCCATGGAGAGGGCCCCCTCCTCCTTCCAGCTGACTGCATGGATGCAGTTGGCCCTCCTTCAGCGCATAGCCACCTGCAGATAAGTTTTTTTTCTTTTCTTGTTTATCTCAAGGGACATTCACTTATTTGGTTCGGGAGTCACCCCCGCATCTTATGCCAAGGAATGTCCTTTAATTTCAGATTAGGAATAATCGTTGTAATCCAAAGATATAACCTTCAAATTAGCAATCCATGAACTTCCTTATTCCCTTGTTTCTTTCATCTCATTGGGAACCATTATTGTGAACCAAAGATGTAGCCTTTGATCCATCAATACAGCTCCTTGTATTTATCTCTTTGTACATCATCAAATGCAAGTACAAATTCTTTTACCTTGTATAAAATCTCTTCTCGCGGGGTCTGGATGTGTCGTGGGAGCTTACCTCATCTGCCCATGACCTTCGTTCCTCCGGGTTAAGGCATAATCTTATCTACCTTGGATCAATTGAGCGCCAACCCTCAAAGTTTGTTTGCTCAGTTGATCCATGCTGGTGGAATACTAAGCTTCAGCCCTCAAAGTCTGCTTTCTGTTCCTCCTGAATTCCGGGTTGTAAAGGCCCTCGAAGTCCAATCCCAACCCTTCATTCATATTTTACGGAGGCATAAACTTATCTACCTCCGGGGGGCATAAACTTATGTACCTCCCCTATCTTTAGTAGGTGGCATAAACTTCTCTACCTCCCTGTAATGTGGGTCTATCTTGCCCGGGGGTGTTCTCCCCCCCCCCCCCTTTTTTTAAGAAATCTACAGAACAATTGAATTTGAAAGACACTTGGCTTTAGAAGGAAGAAATTCTTTATTGTTAAAACAAATGAGAATGCCTTAAATGAAAAAAATAGAGTGCGTCAATTACAAAACAATTTTACTGATAAAATTTTACCAAGTGCTCTACATTCCATGTCCTATCTATTTCTTTTCCCTTTGGAGTCACTAACTTGTAGCTACCTGGGCGAACAACGACCTTGATGATATAAGGCCCTTCATACTTTTTGGCCAACTTTCCGCCCTTAGTTGGTTGACTCTTCTCTCTCTTTCTTAGGACGTAATCCCCCACCTGGAACGCCCTCGGTTTCACCTTACTATCAAAGTAAGATTTCACCTAGCGACAGTAATTCTCTGCCCGGATTCGTGCTTCATCCCTTCGTTCCTCTAAGAAGTTCAGCTCGATGGCCTAATTTTGTTTGTTCACTTCCGGGTCATATGTCATTTCCCTCCTGGTTGGGATCACCGTTTCAGCTGGTGTCCGGGCTTCAAACTCATAGGCCAGGCCAAAAGAAGTGTCACCCGTGGCCCTTCTTGGAGTGGTCCTGTGCGTCCATAGGACTCTGGGTAGTTCATCCACCCATTTGCTTCCTTCCGACAGCAACTTCTTTTTTATCCCGCTTATAATTGTCCTGTTGACGTTCTCCACCTAACTATTAGCCTGGGGATAGGCTACAGATATCTTCGTATGCTGAATTCCCCAGGTTTTGAGGAAGTCTTGGAACTCCGCTTCTTCAAACTGAGTCCCGTTGTCGGATATGATCTGCTTTGGGACTTCAAACCTACAAAGTATATTGGTTCCCACGAAGTCAATCATTTGCTTCCCTGTGATCCCAGCAAGTGGCTCAGCCTCTACCCATTTGGTAAAATAGTCTATGGCCACCACTATCCACCTTGCCTGTCCAATTCCTTTCGGCAGGGCACCCACGATATCGATCCCCCACCTGGAGAAAGGGATTACCGAACTAATGGGCGTGTAATTTGTGGCTGGCCTCCCGGGTATATCTGATACAATTGACAAGTCGGACACTTGCGCACATACTCCTCACAATCCTTCCTCATTGTTGGCCAAAAATATCCTTGGATTATCGCCCTTCTGGAGAGAGAGTATGGGCCTTGATGTGCCGCACATACTCCTTCATGTATCTCTTCCATGAGCGCTTTTGCTTCTGCTGCTCTAAGACAGCGGAGTAAAACAACGTTGTAGGACCGCTTATAAAGGACTCCCTCCTGCACTTTGTAGGTGGGTGCTCTCATTCGTAGCAACCGGGCTTCTTGGGAATCTTCCGGGGCTACCTCGTCTTCAATGTACCTAGCCAACCTGTCTAACCACTCTGGGGAGTCGGCTGATACCCAGAGCACTTCATCCATGTTGAGACTGGGGGTTGCCAACTCCTCCACAGTTGCTAACTTGCTTATATACTCCGGCGATTCAGCGCTAAGCTTAGACAAGACATCAGCTTCCGCGTTGTACGCTCTGGGTATGTGCTCTAGCTTATACTCGAATTTTCCCAACATTTCCAAGGACAAGTCACGGTATTTCTTCATCCTCTCCTCCTTTTCTTCGAACTCCCCACTGATTTGTCCCACCACCAAGCGGGAGTCGCTGTATACCTGGACCCTGGACACCCCTAGCTTGCCGAGAATCTTCAGTCCATTAATTAGGGCCTCATATTCGGCTTCATTGTTTGACACGCGGAACTGAAATCTAATAGCGTAATATATCCGGAAGCTTTCCGGAGTGATCAAGACAATACCTGCTCCACAGGATCGGGACCCAGAAGTTCCGTCAATGCTCATCACTCACCAGTCATCTTCTACCCGGGTTTCAGCCCAGGCTCTTGTCATCTCCCTGGCCGTACACTCAACCTGAAAGTCGGCGAGTGCCTGCCCTTTGATCGATGGACGCGGCCTGAACTCCACATTGTACTGACTGATGAAGACCGCCCACTTCGTCATTCGGGCGGATGCCGCTGGGCTTCGAGTAAGTGACGCCAAGGGCTCATTGGTGAGTACCACAATCCGGTGAGCTTGAAAGTACGGGGTTAATCTCTTCGCCATCCAAAAGACCGCTAACATGGCTTTTTCTGGGCGGGAATACCTCAGCTCCGCATCTCTCAAGGTCTTACTGACATAGTAGACCGGATGCTGGGCCCCTTTCTCTTCTCTTACAATCACAGTACTGATGGCGCAGTCTGCAATTGCTAAGTATAACGTCAGGACATCCCCGGGTTCCGGCTTGGATAAAACCGGAGGACTCGCCAGATACTTCTTCAATTCTTTGAATGCCACTTGACATTCTTGCGTCCATTCAAAGGTCGTCCTCTTCTTGATTACAGTAAAGAACGGATGCGCCTTCTCCGCTAACTTTGAAAGGAAACTATTCAAGGCTGCCAATCTCCCCGTCAGCCGCTGGACCTCTTTCACCGTCTTTGGGGGTTCCATCTCCATGATGGCCCTTACCTTTTCCGGGTTAGCCTCAATCCCTCTTCGGCTAACCATGTGCCCTAGGAATTTTCCCCCCTGGACAGCAAAAGTACACTTCTTCGGGCTCAATCTTAAGTTTACCTTCATCATGATTTCAAAGACCTCCTCAAGGTCCCGGACGTGGTCTCGGGCCTCTCTGGACTTGACAATCATGTCATCAACATAAGCTTTCATGGTTCGCCCTAAGACGGCTTTGAACACTTGAGAAACCATCTGGGTGTATGTTGCCCCGGAATTTCTAAGTCCAAACGCCATCACCTGGTAACAGTACAGGCCCTCAGGGGTCATAAAACTTGTCTTCTCAACATTAGCCGGGTGCATTCGAATATGATGGTAGCCACTGAAGGCGTCCATGAAACTCATCAACTCTGATCCGGCAGTCTCATCCACCATTTGGTCAATATTAGGGAGAGGAAACAGATCCATCGGGCATGCTTTGTTCAAGTCCGTGTAGTCGACGCACATTCTCCACGAAGGAGGCTTAGGCGCCAAGACTACATTCGCCAACCAATCCGGGTAATGCACCTCCCGGATGTGTCCAATGCTCTGCAAGGTTGTCACCTCCTTCTTTACGAAGTCTCTCCTTTCTTGCGATAGATGCCTTCGCTTCTGCTTCACCGGTTTAGCATCCTGCAAAACATTGAGGCGATGAACTGCAATCTTATGATCCAACCCTGGCATATCAGCTGGACTCCATGCAAAGACCTTCCTGAATCTCCTAAGAACAGAGATTACTCGTGATCTGAGTTCAGCCCCCACGCCCTTTCTAATTCTAACTAATCTTCCTGGTATGCCTGGCTCCAGTTCCACTTCCTCTATGTCGCCCGCAACTTCAACTCTGGGACGCCTTTCTTCGGCTCTTAAGAGCTATGCGGTCACCTCCCCCACCTGGGTGTCGTATCTGATAGGTTGTTTAGTTGCCTTTAAATACCAAGCCCGGGACACCCTCTAGGACCCCCTGGCAACTCCAATCACACGGGGGGTTGGGAACTTTATGCATAGGTGATGAGGTGAGATGACACACTCCAAATCTTCTAATCCGGATCTTCCCAGGATGACATTGGTGTTGGAGACTATTCCCACTACAACGAACTCCATGTCCAACTTCTAGGTTGCCTTAGTATCTCCTACCTCGACCGGCAGGGTTATCACCCCCTCCGGTTCAATAGAGTCGCCCGTGAACCCGGTCGGGGGAGTCTTAATGGGCAATAACTCATCTCTCGTCAAACCAAGAGTCTTGTAAGTATCCATATACATGATGTTAACGGAACTTCCCGTATCCACCAAAGTCTTGTGGATCAGCAAGTCCATTATGTCGATTGTAATCACCAGAGCGTCCCTATGGGGGACCCCCGTCTCTGGCAAATCAGCATTAGAAAATACAATCGGCTCAGTTTTCAGCTTCTTACCTTCCGGTTGGGCAGGGGCCGCCACCTTATAGACCATTGCCGCACTAGCCCACTTTTTCTGACTTGTGGCCGAAACCCCACCAATGTTCCCACCGATGATGTAATTACACCCATGGTGCCTCTTCTGTCGGTGTGGTGCGGGTTCTGAATCTTCCTCTTCGTCCTCAAGTCCGATGTGGCGTTTCTCTCGGGCCTCGGCCTGGGCCACTTGCCCTTCTCTACGCTTCCTATTCTGAGCATTCCCGGGATTTCCCCCGTCCACATCTTGTACAAATTTCTTCAGATGGCCCCGGCGGATTAGCCTGGCCAACTCATTCTACAAGGTATAACAGTCCTCCGTGTTGTGATCATTCTTGCGGTGTTAAGTGCACCATTTCCCAGTGTCCTCCACAATGCAGACCTTCTGGGAATAGGTTGGGTATGTCATTAGTCCCTGCTGTGCGTGCAGCATGGGCCATGACCTCGGCCACCGGTAATGTAAACACTGGATTAGCGGATTTGTGCTTCTCCGAGGTCCCAGGATTCGTGCCCTTCGGGCCATCCGGGAAGCCCTGCTTCTTATTTTTGAAAGGCTTCTTGTTTCCCACCTTCTCTTCTTCCTTGGGAGTCTTCTCTTTCTTCTCCTCCTTCCTCTCCTCCAGGGTCACATACCTTCCAGCCCGAACCATTGCTTCCTCAAAGGTATCTGGGGGATGGGTTGTGAGATTGGTATGAAGGAGCCCATCTTTTAGTGCCGCTGTGAACATGGCTAACCTGGATTTATCGTCGGTTCCTTCAACCTCCCTGGATTCTTTTCTCCACCTGACGATGAAGTTCTTCAGGGACTCCCCGTGCTTCTGTCGTACTGAGGCCAAGTGGGTAAAATGCTTTTTGGGACGGCTGTTCCCTACAAAATGCTCTAGGAACCGCAATCCCGACTCATCCCAGGTCTGGATTGATCCGGCCGGAATGTGATTCACCCAATCCGCAACCTTGCTATCAACCGTCTGCAAGAAACATTGGCACATCAACACGTCGCTGGCATCAACGGCGATCATCACCTGGACATAGCTATTTATGTGTTCTTGGGGATCCGATTCCCCATCATAACGCTTGACAAAAAGCACTTTGAACCCATGAGGATATGGCTCTGCAAAGATCTCCGGGGCGAGCGGAGTATTCGTCCGGGTAGTGAACACTCGTCCCCTGTTTATTTTCCTCTGCATCTCCTGGATCTATTGTCTCAAATCCTGGAACTCGCCAGCTTCCGGCACTTGTGGTCCTAGACGCTGCGCCGCCGGGACCCTGGCTTGACTCTGAACCTCCTCCTCGTCCAAGACCATCGACTCCTCCAGGTTTGGGGAGGTTTAAGGGTTTTTTATACAACGTCTCCCATCTCTCCTCCGGCCTATCAACAGCTTCCTCCATCGACCGTGCACATCTCCTTCCATACAACCACTTTCTTCCTCCAGATCTGACGCAGCTCTCCTTCGACGCAGCGTCCTTCCCCCGACCTGACTCGACTAGGAGCACCTCTTTTCTCCTCCGATCGACGCCATTTCTTCTTCGATTTCCCAGCTATACCCAATTTTGGGTACAACCAGCTGTATGGTATAATTTGTAAGATTGCATGCAATTTCGCCTCCTTCCAATATATGGGCAAAGTATAGATATATAGGACATGTTTGGTTTTTGGCATTTAGGATGACTTTTGGCTGTTTTGACCAATTTTCGAGGATTTGATTGGTCAAACAACCAAAAAAAAGGGAGTTTGGTAGTTGGCTGCAAGGGTTGACTATTTGAGTCTGAAAAGCCAAAATTTAAAAAATTACAGGGCGTAGCATTTTGGTTTTGCTGTTGGAAAATAGATTTTTTATTTGTTATTATATGTAATTTTTATGAATAAATAAAAAAATTGATAAATAAATTAATCAATTAATAACTAAATAAGTAAATAATTTATGAATAAATAAATAGTGAATAAATAAATAGTGTTTCCCATGTAAAATTCATGAAGCGCTTTGGGAGAAAAAATATTTTTTTTCTAATTGTTTTATGAGAATTTGGTGTAGAAATAAACAAATTATATCCTTAAGAACTACATCAAAAAAAATGAAACAAAATATGATACTCCTATAAGTATAATATTCTATCAATTTATCGATAAAAACACATAAATAAATAAAATCATAATTACTTTAGAATAGTATATAGCTTAGAATTTTATTTGAGGAAAGAAAGAATATATATTGCAAAGCATTTTATACCATATAATTGTATTGGTAAAAGTTTCATTGAATTTAATTTCATTTATAAAAACTATTTTGAAGAAGCTAAATTTACCAAACAATTTTTTATCAACAAGCAATATAATCGATTAGTTAAAGCAGTCAACTCAACCAGTCGTTCAAACCAGCTAAACGGATAGATATCAGCCAATAGCTAAATTCCAAACAGCGTCATAATGGATTAGGTAGAGAATTATATTTATTAAAACAATTTTAATTCATTATTTGGATAAACAGATATTTAGATATACGATTATTTAAACGGATGTACATTCAAACTAGATTTTAGACGGATCGAATATTCAATTATCAAATTCATATCTATTTAGTAATCAGATCTTCTTAATTGGATTATTCTAAATTTAAACAAATAAGAATGGGGATGGTAATATAATTTTCGATTATGTGGTTCGTGATTCAACCGTCAACGGTTTCTAAACATTTTGATTAATTGGGTAAACTAGCTTTAGATTGCGGCTGATACTTCTCCCAACACAACTCAGCCAAGTTTCGTATCTCCTTTCTTCGTCACTGTGCTTGTTGGATTCTTAGCTTTCCCAATTCTTTATCACGAAGAAACCTATCAGATTTATAAAAATCAGCATGGATATCGAGGCGGCAGAGCTCCAGGACTGGGAGGTTCTTTTACCCAACCCGATTTCAGTTGATTCGGGTTTGCCCGACTCCTCGGAGAACCCGAATGATTTTCAAGAAATCGGAGCCGATTCTCAAGGTATTGTACACACCGATTACTTCTCTTTGGATACTGGAGAGAGTTTCCCGGGCACCGCTGCTGCGGATTTTGATGTGGGCGAGCTGGGTTCGGACAATCCGAGCTGGATTGATCCAGACGGATTGGAGGCCCGGTACCCGGCCAAAGAATCCGGCGAATCTTGGCCCGATTCAGGCAGTGACCTGTCGGATGATCGGGTTTTCGAGGGGAAAGGAGAATTGGGTATGCTCCAAAAGGACACAATTGAAGGGGTTTTTGAGGGGAAAGGAGAATTGGGCATTCTCCAAAAGGGCACAATTGAAGGGGGTTTTGATGGGAAAGGAGAATTAGGCATTCTCCAAAAGAATACAACTGAAGGGGTTTTTGAGGGGGGAGGAGAATTGGGTATGCTCCAAAAAGACACAATTGAAGGGGTTTTTGATGGAATTGAGGAGATAGGGAGTGAGATTGAGCAGCTTGAAGGAGATGCAGATTTGAAAGATACGTATGCTGCTGCAGAAGAAGAAGAAAAGCAGAAGGCCGAATCAATCGTTGGATCTGAAAAGCAGGAAATTGCGGGGAAGAAAACGGATGAAATAGAGGACAAGAAGAATAAGAAGAAGACAATGAATGTGGTGGGGTGGAAGGCGCCTTTCGAGCTCTTCAAGTACTATGTATTGAAGTCTCGCCATTTTGGGAGTCTGTCTGTGGCGGCAGCTGCTGCTTTAGGGTTTGCCATTCTGGGTCACAGATTGTACAAGATGATGATGATGAAAAAGAGATCGAAAACGCTGGAGGACGGTAAGAAGAAGGTGGTATTGCAGTTCATTGGCCGGGGCCCGGCAAGTCTATATGAAGCATTTTCCATGGCGAAGCAGGTGCCTGCAGCCATGATCCGACCGCAGCAGTTGCCCGGAGCTGCTGCAGTTATTCCATGGCCTGTTATAGCTTTGATATAGAGGAAGGATCTAAAATGTTTGCAGGAAACATGGTTTGTTTCTTTCACATTGTATGCTCATGCTTTTTGTGCTTTTTGTATAATATATACTCAGGATGTATGTGATTGTGTAACCCCTTATATTTCAAGAATTAGTATTGAAAGAATAAGTATAGTGCTTAAGAGTTGTCATTAGTTTCTGATCATTTCATCATCCATCATATGGGCTGTGAATCAGGTCATATGGTACCCGCCCGGGTAGCTCAAGTGGCAAGCACTTGGTGAAGTTTGGAGAATGACCAAGGATCGAAACCTGGCAGCGACCGTTGTGGAGGCGACCACCTCTGAAAAATGAGGGGAGTCTCTGGTGCGCACTAGGATATGGTCTAGCTGAGTGTTGTGCTTGGGTCACCGTGATTTACCTCCTCTCACATTTTCGTCGGGTTCGGGGGTGAGGGGCGCCCGGGGTGAGCGATTTCACCTAAGGTCATATGGTAAATGTTGGTTGTTAATGCTCAAGATATATCTGTCAAATTACTGTTTTCTTTTTCCTTCATTGGGATTGGACAGTACAGACTATAGATGACTGATGTTCACTATTTCAAAAATCTTGCTATCACCAACAGTGTAGTAAAGTTATTCAATCAGTAAAAGAAAACTTACTGCAATCAGACAAAAACAAAACATGTTTTTTTTTTAATTCTGGCGCGAGAAGTAATTAACCACTTGATTGGTTTGATCTTCTGCCAAACGACATAAATAAAGATGTAAAATCTTGGCTAAGATGCAATACACTTCAAAAACTGGCTTTTAATCACAATTAAACCTCTGGTTTTCTTGGTTTCACCCATGGTTGGTGCACAAAGCAAACCGAATTCTCCCCCCCTTATGCACTCCATTTGACATATATAGGCTGTAGTTGGGCGTGACTGAAAAAATTGAATAATAACACATTATTTTTGTTTGAACATCAATGGAGTCGACTAGTAGTTTTTACCGTTACTAAATGCACGTGTATTCTGCCAAGTAAGACGAGCGTTTTAATACATTACGTGCCAAAATATGAAATTTGTGAATGAGAAATTAACTTTCAAAATTGATACAGTAAATAAATAGTTTGTCTCGACTAGGATTATTTACCACCATATTTACTCCTATTCATTATAGAGCAATAAACAAAGAGCTCATTGAAATCTGTTCCATGGGTTTCGAAATGATATGTTAGAGCACCGGAAATACTCCTAACGCCCCGGGGCGTATTTTCGATTTTTAACGCCTGGGGCGTTAAACATCGCCCCCCGCGGCTTCATCGGGGTGTTAGGAGATGTGCGCCGAACGTTTAATGCACGGAAATGCAGTGGGCCCCTCTTCCAGGCATTATAACCTTTAAACTAAAAAAACTTTCTTCCCTCTATAAATTCATTATTTAAAAAAATTAAACACACACAACATCTCTCTCTCTCTCTCTCTCTCTCTCTCCTTCAAATTAAAAAAATTCTTCAATTTTTTTCATCTTTTTTAACATTAATCCCTTCGGTTATAATGTTCCTTCGCCAAAATCTCGAGGACCCGGAGTCGGTTCTCAAGACTCAACCGGAACAAAGTGCACCAAAAAAAAGTGCACGCCGGAAGAGTCACAAAGTGCACACTGGAGGAAGAATCATTGTTGGCATCCGTTAGAATTGACGTCTCCAAGCATCCTATCCTCGGTAAAATTTATATATTTTTATAAATATTGTATATATGTTAGTTTTTATATATTTGTATTAAAATATTTTTTTCGTTCAATTATATATTTCTTAAAGGCTCTCGAGCAAACGAAAGATACGATGTTGGATCGTATCGAGGAGAAGTTCTTTGCGGGGAAGAACAAGGACGCCTCTTACCGAACCCGAGACCAACTCACTTCCAAATGGGGCCACATCAACCAAACAGTCTAAAAGTTTATCATAGTGTACGAGGAATGCTTTCGATCCTAGAAGAGCGGGACAAACGATGCTGACGTTCTGCGGTAAGCCACCGCATGGTATCAAGATGACAGACACCAAGGCAAGGTCCTCGTCGATTTTTGGAGAATTTTAGGCCGTTCACTGAAATGGCAACAACTCAACGACCACAAGGTCGTATTGTCAAAAGAAAAGATGCTCTGCTGAGGTTGAGGCCGATGACATTGTCGGCTCGTCGGAACAAAGGCCTCTCTTCAACCTAGAGGACTCCGACGACGACAACCCCATTCCACGACCAATCGGAAGGAAGAAGGCAAAGTTCATTGTGCCTCGGGTTCTGAAGGGTCCGGCTCTGTTTATTCTCACGATGATATCGGTTGGGCAATGGTTGAACAACTTCAGGTGTTCAATATTAGGGATTAGGTTAGAAGAGAGGGAGAATCGAAGCAAAGAGAAGACAGATCTTGATACATTAACAGGCTTCAAACGTATGTATTACGAGAGAAGACAGAACGAGATCATGGATAAATATAATTTGCTTAAATATTTAAATTGAAGTAGTTTTTTAAGTAAATGTTCTTTTTTTTATTAAATGTAATTTTTTATTTGATAAATTATTGTCCTTTAAATTTAATTAATTAATGAAGTTTTATTAATTTAATTTTACAAAACGTGCATTAAAAAGTTAAAAAATAAAAGTCTGAAGCCCAAGTTTGAAGCCTCGGGACTTCAAACTCATTTCTAGTAAAACTATGAGGTAAGTTAAAAGCTAATGTGGTAGAGGGGGGAATTTTGAAAATACAGTTTAAAGCCCCAGGGCTTCACGAGTATTTCCAGGGCTCTTAGGCGCATCATAGGCATGCCACATCACATATTGGGCATAGATACCTAATTTAACCTTGCAAATTCTATATTCACTTATGGTGTGTTTGGAAAGTTGGATTTGGATTTTAAATCCGGATTTTGCTCAAATTTCATATTTGGGAAACTTTAAAATTTTGAATTTGGATTTGATTCACGTTCATCTATTTCATAACAAACCTCAAATTGAAATCTATATCTCTGCCCTTGTCATTTGAAATTTAAAAATTCAAATTTCAGAATTGAAATTCATGAATTGAAATGAAATGGTAGTTCCCAAAAACTACCTTCATTTTTCAATTAAAATCTCTTTTTTAATTATAGTACAATACTTATTATTAATATACAAATAACATTATATTTACTCTCTTTTAATGTATTTATCATAATATCACATCCTATTCTACCTATACTACTATAAAGTAAGAGCAAATTTGAAAGGTAACACAAAAATTTCTTAGGTTTTTTTCTAAAGTTGAAAAAATTAATGTGAATGAGTAGTTGTTTATTTACTTGATTATTTGAATGCAATAGGTTATTTCTGCCTAAAAACATAGTAATGTGTATAGTTGAATAAATTTGTTTTTGTAATTCTATGGTTGTGTAAGTCTGTGAGACATATATACATAGATGGAAATGTTTTTAAATCTAAAGCATTATAATTGTAGAAAAGGAAGTATTTATGAACGTTACAAATGAAGATATTGGACCGCATTCAAAAGATGAAAACTCGAAGAAAACAATGATAAAATGTACTCCTTCCGGTCCTAAATCTTCCTATTTTGACTAAAAAAGTTACTGTTTGATTAACACGAAGAATTTTTTAGACTAGATGAAGTGAGTTTTTTCTATAATTCTCTTGTTTTCCACTTAAATTCACTTAAATTCTATAACAACAACAACAACAACAACAACAACAATAATAATAATAATAATAATATAATGAACATGTGATACTTACGTAGAAACCAAAATTGGGAAAAAATCAGTCTTTTTTCGGTGGTACGTTGTCAAAGGATATTTAATGATAGATCGAGGGAGTATTTGTACAACATGTGGCTCGATTAAACTTGAAGCTCGATGAAGAAGATACTAAAAAGTGTAGAGAGAGTGCAAATCTAATTTGGCTCTCCTTTCTCAATGGCCTGCAGCCTTTATTTATAGTTAGTTAAAGCTCCCCTCTCACATTTAGTTATAGTTAAAGCTCCCCTCTCTCAAAGATGGGTTTTGGAATAGTTTCAAAAAAAATGGAAAACCGAATTAGGCCAAATAGTTTTCTAACGGAATAGGCCAAATATGTAACTACATATGAAAACCACATGTAACTAGAGAACATTTATAGAATTCACAAATATTCCCTTTTTGATGGAAGTTCAAAATCCCTTAATTTTTAAAAATGATTTAATTAACAAATTGGTATAGAAATTTTAAAAAACTCATATTTTTACTAACTCACCATGAATTAATGTAATGTATTCTCGTCAAAAATCCTATTTAAACAAGAATGCTATTAATATACTACGTATCTAACTAATACTCCGTAATATATTTTTATAGAAAATAAAACCAAAACTAGTTTATATTTCATACTTATTTAATTAAAAAATTGATTTTACAGGTATAGGTATTACTTATTAATTCACAGCTATGACAAGACTTTATATCTGACAAAATTTGAGCATAATAAATTATATGCATGACCTTCTTTGGTGCAAAAGGCTTAGTTTATAGGAGTACGAAGTACTATAATATAATGATGATGTTTAATCTATAGCTTAACGAAGAGGTAACCATAAGGCTAACCCAAAAAAAAAACTAATCAAAGGCTAACCAAAAAAAAAAACTGCTGAAGACGGAGCTATTAAAACCCTGCAGGCTAAAACCGAAAGCAATTACAATCAATTCTATATGCATGACATCAATCTTTAAATTAAAAAAAAAAATCACAAAGCATTACCAAATCATGTTGAAATCATGCACATTTTAGGCCAATGCCAAGCCTCGACCAAACCGTTGTTCAAGCGAAGAGATACGAAGAACTCTACTTCTTGCTTTGGACCTTTTGATCTGAATCAGCTTGTCATAGACGCACCATGGGAAGCTGATGAGATGATCCCTTTTCATGCCTTCATTGTAGCGACCCCAGTATGTATGGTGGTATGTGACATAGTACCACGCTGATGCTTTTGCCAACAAGTCCTCACCTGTTTCACTTCCTTTCTTGAACCACGACCTCGCCTCCTTCTTCAAGGCCCTCACAGCAAAACTTACCGACTCTGCATCCCTTCTGCGGTCAAAAAATTTTGAAGCCTTTATGACGCCGCCATTCAACACCTCAGCCTCAGTTTTAATGCCATAGTAGTCCATTAGATTGCCGAGTTTGAAATCGTAATTTGTTTTGCAATAAAAAGCTTCATCAATGAAGTCTTCAAACCCGTCCACTTCCAAATCAGGATCATATGATTTTCTGGCAACTTCCCTTGTAAAGGACGTGATGGAGCTTAGCTCTGGAGTAATATCCTTCACTGCCCTAAATAGCTTTCCGATCACTCTTGACGAAACATAGGTTGTCTTTTCAGAAGGCTTCTCCATGAAATCGGGATACTCTTTGACACGTAGATGGGAGGGTATCTCAGCAGGAACACCAGTCTTGGGAAAGTCAACTGCAATGGAGAAGAGCTTTGCAAGTTCAAGACATGGTTCACTCATTGCCATTTTTGCTTCTTTGTCTGCAAACACGACATGGGCATTCGAGATTCTGCCTAAACTGTCATTCACAATGTAGTCTGCAAAATACTTGTGAATTTCCTGCAGAGAATAGACATTAAATAAAAGTGGACTCATAATGGACTTAATTATGATAGGCTGAGATTTCCCCCAGATGATAGTCACTTTGTCCCTAAAAAAATGTCATCTTGACTTCCCAAAGTTTAAGAAAAACATTGTAAAATGAAGTGTGGTCAAAATTTGTTTAGAGAGAAATGTTGCGAGCCACATTGATTTTCTTAAAAGGAAAGAAGAAAAGTGGGGGGTTTAGTTTGAGATGAACAGAAAAGGAATGTGGGAAATTCTGTTTTTTTACGTGCGGGGGGGGGGNTCTCTAACTCTCTAAACAACTGCCACCTTCAACCAGACGGCATGAGTATTTCACATTTTCAAAAATATGTTGGAGAATTCATGGGCTTGGCATGTATGCACAGTTGCACACTACACGCTGAATTAACCAATTTAGGAGAGTCGTACCCATTTGTCCCTTTCATTTGTTTCACTTTGCTTTTTGCATGAAGTTTTAGAAAATGAAATTTTGTAATTGAAAATTAATTAGAAATCAAAGAATCAATATGGACCATGCATTTCTTTTCTTAAAAGAGAAGGGGAAGCCTAATTAAGAACCCAAAATGGAAAAGTATAAAAGATTGAAGGGGGACAGGAGTAACAACAACAACAACAACAACAACAACAACAACCCAGTTGAATCCCACAACAGTAGGGTCTGGGGAGGGTGTGTGTACGCAGACCTTGCCCCTACTCGGAAGTAGGGAGGCTAATGTAATGAAAATCAGATTGAAGGGGGACAGGAGTAATGTAATGAAAATCAGTATTATAAACTAAGCACAGAAAATGGTAAAAACTAAAACCATGGAAAATGGCTAAACACGGGTTTCAGATGAGATATATATTCGTTGTAGTATTTCGTACCTCCATCATTACATCATGGTCTAATTCCGTGCTTGGAGCAGGGGTATAATCCATTGGCGGCTTCATTTCCATTGGAATCAGATCTTGGTCCCAACACACAAAGTAAATATCTCCATCCAAATCACTTCCAGAACATTCATTTGGATGAGGTCTGTCACCAAAGTTAAACATAATTAACAACAAAAGCCATAAACATCTCTATAACTCTATTGGTAAACTAAACTAATTAGAAGTAATCACTAGAGTCAAGTTACTTTGCATTATAAGAGAATTATAATTACAGTGCGATATATGGCCACTTATGGCAATACTCTGCTAAGCACATTTGTCTATTGTGCACGGGATGCGTTTTTCTAGTGATACCGAGTCTCTCCAACTTGTTTCTCAAAATCATCGCTTATTTTATTCATATGGATCCTTTTGATAGTTAGCAATTCACACCCTTTCATATCATGGATAGAAATAGTGGTAAGTTAGACCACCAGTTGTTCAGTCCTAATTGTATAATAGAAATGAATAAAGTGTAAAGACAAATAGCTACATAAAAAAGCTAGCAAAATTTGAGGTTCGGACGGAGAATTTGATGAAGATGGTGATATGAAGGGTGTAAATTGATGCATTTATTACTAGAAATTTATAGGACACATCTTGTTAACTTGTTCATAAATTACACAGTATAAAAAAAATATCATTGAGAGAAGTGGTGCAAAGGGTAGGGAATTGGTTTAACCTCTGCCCTTTCTGTGGGAACACGACACAGTCCACCATATGGTGCAAATCAGGCACGTTAACAGCCCTCAAAACACGAACATCACCAGGGTGCAAGCACGGGTTCTTTGCAACGACCACCTTTCCCTTGACAATGTATTTACAACTGCTGGATTCAGTGAGCAGAGGGCCATCGCCAAGAGACAGCCTGTGATCCGTACCTGAATACTGAATGAATACTTCACCATATTCCAACGTTCTGGTTTCATCCAGACATCCCATCATTGATCTTGCACTGGGCACAAATATCCTTGCCTTAGTCCTCAAATCTTGCAACTTGAATGCCCTGAATGCTTGCAAAGTCATCGAAAGAAATGGTTCGGCGTCTGGCTTGTAACCACACATCAGCATCTCTTTAATGATGTTTGTGTTTTCTCCAGGGGCCATCAGCTCGAGTGCCTCGGATGCCTTATTGGGATCAGTGAGGATGGCATTCAGTTGAGCAACTGCTTCACTTTGCTTCCTCTCAAAGACCTCATCTTTGATCCCAAGTGTGGACAAAAGTGTTACCAATTGGCGGTTCAGATAACAAGGTTGATATTTGCTCCATGCCAAAACATCCAACTTTACATTGTCTGACTCATACTTCAGCATGCTGTTTCTCAGTGACAACTTCTTTGATGAACAAGGGTCAACAGAAACAACACCCTTAAATCCACCATAACGGATCTGAAAAGCGGATGGAGTAAACTTTTCCAGACCACATTTTATGGCAACTCTTTCAGAAAATTCCACAGATATTTTCCCAATCCCGTCGGAGAAATTATATTCTGACCCTTGCCTTCGAATCTTTATGTCGGGAACAATTTCAATCTCATCCCTGGGAACACTCAAAGCCTCTCTGGATGAACCAAAGGACTGTCCAAGTCTTGCAGCGTACTTTGCAACATTTTTTATCTTTGTAAAGTCGCCCATCCATGCCCTTATATCAGCAGCATTAAGTCCATTTCTTGATGCAAACATCCAAATGGAACCCTCTCTTAGCTGGCTAGATGAGAACGCCAGAAACTCAAACCTTTTGTCTCCAATAACAATGCCGCTGTTAAGTATCCTAAGTATCCTGTGATAAATGTCAGTCTTGCCCGATGCGCGCTGAGATAAATCCACAGATTGAATTTTATCCCATTCCTCATCAACAAAAGAGACACGGAGAAAATTATCAATATCATTGATATAATGGCGCAGCACACGATTGGATTGGTTCACCTCGGGCCCAGAAAAATATACCCTTGTTGGAGTAACTAGGACCCTCCGTACATAAACCAATCCATCTTCAAGTTTAATAAGAGGAGATTCCGGAGGACGCTTAAACATTCTGTATTCCATAGTCAGCCACGCCACAGGATCATAACAGCATTCCTTCATTTCATACATTTTAGCCAAGACATGTTCAATGCAGTTAATGTTTTCCCAGCGTGGATCAACTAATCGGAAGAATTTGGCGTTGAGTGTGGGCCCCGGAAGGCATCCATGTTGAACCAAAGAACAAATCTTAAAAAGCAACTTGAAAGGCAACACAACTCCTTCTGGAGGATGCATGATTGGAACTAGATCCAAATTGCTAGAGAATGGTGAACCGTGCTCTAGAATGAATTGACTTTCAGTTTCACTATAGTAGGCAAAATTATTGCGGAAGTCTGGTAATCTGACACCTGTAGGAAGCACCAGACACAAGCAAGATGATTGGCCAATCAAATTCTGTGTGAAGTCCGTGGTCCTCACCCATTGATCATCCGGAAGTTCCTCAAAGTAGTTATAAATTGAGAATTCGGCTGTTTTCTTATAGATCCGTGGAGCAGCAAATAACTGGAACAGATAGAGCAATGCACATGTATGAGTTATAACTGAACAAGTCTTCTACAACTACCAGTATCTACTCATGTATATGCCATTGTTTGTCACTATACTAATCAAAGCTGAATTCAGTATATAACAGAAATAAATTTTGATGAAAATAAACAAGATGAACTGAGAACTACTTCCTTCATAGTCCATCTCACTATTTTTGGGACGCAAGGGAGTGGCAAAAAAAATTAAAATAAGTGAGATTGTTTAGTTGATATTGATGTTAAAAAGTAACATAAAGTAAGAATAAATATGAAGCAGACAAATATGATTAAATATGGTATGAGACAAAAGTAGTGGGATGGACAAAAAAGGTATGGGACAAAATAGTGGGACAGGGGAAGTACTTTATTAAAAAAAAGGATAAATGGTTTCTCCAACACATACAATTCTTCAACTTTTGAAGCAGAGACCTCTTTTGAAACGATCATAAAAAATTAATGAAAACAGAAACTGTATTCAATGCATGTGGTAGAGATGATTAATTTCTCCAAATATGAAATATTTTAATTACAACAACTCTGCAGACTATGGTCATAGAAGATTGCTTTTTCGACTATGGTCTTCACGCTTCAACGAAGCAAGGCCCTTCTACCTCCCGAAGTCTTCACCCCCCTCTGAAGGAAGTGCTATTGAGGAACCCGCGATGGTACTTGTTATTGAATCCAAACTATGTTCCCTTTGGGAAAACCATCATGAAACTCTTTTTGGCCTACCCAATATATCTAGTACATTCTAGACTTAGTATTGTATTCAAGCCCAAACCATTGAAGCCTATACAGTATACACTTTGTAAGAGGATGAAGCTCACATGAAATGGGTCGGGCAAACCCGACTCAGAAGTGAGGCTCAAAGTCTGCCATGTGGTGGGTGGAGGTAGGCGCTAGGGTTAGGAGATAATAGGTGATCTCCCATTAAATTGAGTCAAGTTCCATTGTCTTCCACGGATGTGGGAGGCAATTCCTTGTGGTTGGTTGGCCTCTTGGTCCTTATCAATACACCTTCTCCGAACCTAGAGAAGGGATCGCACTCTTCAAATACAAATGGTTTTATTCAACTTCACCTCTCTCAATCTCTATTGCATGCAATCAATTACAACATCATAATTCTAATATTCCAGTAAATTTTTATAAAAGATGTATATCAAATATAGTTATATATAGTTTTAACTTCTAAAATACGAGCTTCACTCGAATTTCTTTGTTAAAACCTAACACCTAAGCCAAATCACCAATCTACACTGTAGTACATATATGAGACATATGAGCACAAGTTCCAATATTACACAACAAAACTCGCACTCTCATCCCTTTTAACCAATTAAGGGCATCACTACTCATTCTCCCCATAATCCCCTCCACATCATCGGTTTTTGCCACATCAATTTTTCTTTTTATTTTCTTTACCCCACTCTAACCGTTCCCCTTTTTTTAATTTTCTTTCAAAATATTTAATTTATTTTCAACCAATCGAATTTATCATTTCATTTTATACTCAATCATAAATCTTCTCTCTCCAGAAGCATTTTATTCCCCTCCCAACCACAACCCCTCCATTTTCCCCCACCCTCTCTAACCATTCTCTCTTGCAACATAAACAATCCCCCCATGCTCCCCCCATTAGTGATGCTCTAATGCAGGTTAAAACAGAGAAACTTAACAAAATGCCACTAATTATTTTTTTTCAAAAAACCCACCTTTTTGTTTCTAAATATCACATAAGTTTTTATTAATATTTAAAAATACTACACTTATATCTTCAACCAATCACTTGAAATTTTCTTTTTACTTTTAATTTGTCTCCTGTTTTTTTCTTTTTCTAAACAAATTCGTTTTTTTCTAGTTCTATCAGCTCACAAAGGTTGTATTTATTAAAATAATCAGTTTTTAAAAAAACCAGTCACTTCACCATTTTATGATAAAATATAATGACAAATGAAAAAATATCAAATATTTTTTAAAAAATCAAAAATTGAGTCTTATTTAAAAGATGGAAAAAAACAAGTTTGCTGAGAAATAGAAAGAAAACTTGAGATAAAAACTAATCAGTGGCATCTTTAATATTAAAAGAGTGGCAATTTTTTAGAAAAAAAAAGGTTTAGTGGCATTTGTTAAACTTCTCTTTGTTTTAACATGCATTAATAGTATAAAAAGGATGGGAGTGGCCTTTTTGACAGGTAATAAGCACTTCAATGGCAATATAGAAACAGATTAAAAGAAATTGACACTTTTGACAAAAAAAATTAGTTCAATAGTATTTTAATAATTCCACTCTAAGACATAATGGGATTCAAATACAAACCTGTATGACGAGATATTTTTCATTTCGACCATTCGGGTTATACAAAACAATGTCCCAAATGTGTTCATACAAGAGTTGGAGCTTGTATTCGACATCACGATATGATAGGAAGAAGAGTATCTTCTTCAATCCATATCCAAATTTTATTGAGACATTTCCCACTCCCCATAACCTGGAAAACCTCTCTTTTGATATTTGGCACCCAAAGCATAGAGTTATATCCGGCATTTCATGGACATATGATCTGGGCTCCACAATATAGGTGTCAAGTTCCCAAGCCTTCAAATAAGAGCTACCATAGTACAATCTCCCACAATTGGCTAATGATATAATTGCTTCTGCAGCTCTGCTTGTGTCAAATTGGACTTTAGCATATGCCCTTCCTCCTCTTTTGCTCATCTTCACCTCTATCGCATACACGGAATTCACACGCGTATGCCTCTCAAAGAATGCTTTCGCTTCATTCGCACTCACAAGGCGAGGGAACCCAAAGACCTGAATTGTCTTTGTCTTGACCATATTGGCAAATTTCAATTTTCAATATAGCAACATCCGCTTCAAAATCCTACAAAGACATGTATGTAGACTGTTAAGAACATAAAAATGAAATCCCACAATGAGAGAATCAGAAGCAATTCGACAAGCATGACACAATTGGTAATAAAATCAAGGCAATCCATTAAGAAATGATAAAGCGCATTCATTAACTAAGGCAAGAATACACTTTCAGCACTGTCCATTATCATTCTTTTGCTTCAATTTTGCAAGTGCCTGAAATGCTTGAGGAAATAAAATTGATTTTATGACAAAAACGGGAAGCGATATGACAAAGTATCCAGGAAATGGAGCAATGAGTGAAATGAGCCATTTTACTTTGGAAAAATTACCCAAAATAATCCCAACTTTACCCGGTCTTTCAAAAATAATCCCACATTTCACTGTGATGCATAATAATCCCAACTTTAATGAAATTTTCCAGTTTTGGGTCGCCGTTAAGTTTCTAACGGAGGGTTAACGGAAATGCCCGTTTTAGGCAACAAAATGAAAGTTGGGATTATTTTTGATGAATTTTTGTTTTTTAATTTTTTTTGAAATTTTCATTTAAATTTTTTAAATTACTTTCTACCTCCATCATTTCTTTTTCCTTTTTTAAAGATTAGTCTTAGTTTAAAAAATAAAAACAATAGATATAAAAAATGAAAAAATGAGAAATGTAACTAAAATGATACAAAAATAATAAAATAAATAAGGTAATCAATGGAAACTAACTTGAAATTGGAAAAAGTAAAATAGAAATATACGGGTGGGTTTTAATATTTTAGGCATTATACAAAGTATTAACATATCACTTCTTATTTTTTAGAAAAAATTATCTATAATAATTCCAACTTTACCGGACGGCTTGTTCTTTTAAAAAAATAAGTAGTACATTAAGACTCCGTATAGTGTGTAAAATGTTAAACTTACGACTCCATATATATTTATTTTATTTCTTACCAGTTTCTGTTTAATTTCTATTGATTACATTATTTATTTGATTAATTTTGTATGGTTTTAGTTATTTTTCTCATTTTCATTCTTTTTTATATCTATTTTTTTTCTAAGGTAAGAATAATCTTTAAAAAAGAAAAAGAAATGGAGGTTGAAAGTAATTCACAAAATCTAAATAAAAATTTCAAAAAAAATTAAAAAACAAAAATTCATCCAAAATAATCCGAATTTTCATTTTGTTGCTTAAAACGATCCCTCCGTTAGAAACTTAAAGGCGACCCAAAATTGGCAAATTTTAGTAAAGTTGGGATTACTATGCATCACAGTGAAAGGTGAAATTATTTTTGAAAGACCGAGTAAAGTTGGGATTATTTTGGGTAATTTTTCCTTTTACTTTTGACACTTTTCTTGAACATGTTGAAATCAAATCAATCACCCAAGAGTACAAAGAAAGCAATAGGAAATCCCCAATTGAGATCCACATGTACAGAAAAGATGCCATAAAACAGGTTTTGAAAGACAAACAGGCAACATATACCCAGTTTCACAACTCATAACCATACAACTCAGGAGAAATTAAACAAGAAAAGGAAAAGGGTTTGCAGGCTTACAAGAAAATGCAAGTTTAAGCGAGGCTACAACCAGGAAGAAGAAGAAGAAGAAGAAGAGAGCTGGTAGAGTTTATACTTGTCTGGACTGTGGAGACGGTCAATTTCATGGTCTATTTCTTTCTATCTTTCTCCAAAACAATTCAGCCTTTCAACTTCCAATAAACAATAATAAGCATCGTCCCCACTCATCGAGTCAGTTCTACTTTTTGCTTTGAGTAGTACTGTTGTAGCTCGGATACGGACTACATTCCTATTGGTCCATGCATCTTTAATCTATTAGGGATTGTTTAGATTTAAAAAAAGAAAATTTATCTCAAATAATCTCACCTTTTCGCGTTTTTTCAAAAATAATTCCACTTTTCACTGTCACTGGAAATAATCCCACCTTTTCGCATGTGTGCGAGTTTTGGGTCACCGTTAAAAAACTAACGGTCACTTAACGGAAGTTTTTGAAAATGCATGTTTTTTGCAAATAAATGAAAGGTGGGATTATTTTAGAAAAATTTACTTTTTACTTTTTTAGTTTTGAATTTAAAATTAATATTTTTAAAAATATAACAATACACTCTTGTTAGAGATTTGTCTAACGATTAACAAATTTTGTTAATTGTTTTGGGAAAAATATAGTATTGAATTATCAAAAATAATTCAGAGTATCGATCAAGAAAGAAATTACAATAAAAACAAATATAGTAATTTATAAAATTTATGGGTTCCGTTTTGGAAAAAAAAATATTGTGTCATTTTCACAACTTTTGAATTACTATTTTGGGAAAAAATTTGTATTGAATTATTAAAAAAATCACAAATTAGGTAGTTCCATTTTAGAAAGAAATTTTTATTGCAATATAAGATTATTAATAAATATTTCAGAGTGTTCATGGAAAATTGCAATACATCAGAAAATGTAGTGAGTTATAAAATTAAAATTTCTATTTTAGAGAAAAAAAATTGTTGTGTTATTTTCACAAATCACAACTATTGTAATGTTGTTTCACAAAAAATATTTTTATAAAACTATCGAAAAATATTCATAAGTTTTGTAGTGCCATTTTTTAAGAAAAAATAATAATGTAGTATCAAAAAATAATTTGAAGTGCAGCTCTAGAAAAATACAATAAATGCAACTTACAAAAAAATGTACTCCCTCCGTTATCAAAAACACTTCCTCTTTCATTTTTTTCCCTTCCAACAAAACACTTCCACTTTCTATTAAAAACTCACTTTTAACCTTACTTTTTCATATCCTACCTATCACATCATACTTTATCTCTAATAATCTATCCATCACATCTTACTTTTACCTATCACATCAAGGGCAAAATTGGAAGTCAACTACAATTTAATACTTCCTTATTTTTACACAAAGTCAAAAGAGGAACACTTTTTCCAAACGGAGGGAGTAGTTAGTTATGAAGTTAATAAATTAGCTCTATTGTGTAGAATAATTTATTTTNGGGGGGTTAGAGGGGGTAGGAATCATCAATTTTATGAACGGGACTCCGTAGGGGGGCAGTGGCTTCCGTAGCCACTAGATTTCAGTGGCCATGGAACCGGACCGTATTTAATTTGATTCGAAAAAATTAAACTAGACGAATAGTTTTAGTTGAAGAGATTATATATCATCATTAAGTGTAATGCTCCACGGGAGGGGTGTCGTGATCTAGCGTGGCATTGCCACCAGTGGCGGATGCAGGATGAATATTGACGGGGCATGACTTACAATTTCCAAGCTGAATTTAAAGGGGGGGCCACACAAAAATCTCTCCCTTTTTAAAATAATTTCTCTTTCATTTTATTCGTTTTCTACAAAATAATTCTATGACTAAATTTCACCGTTGGCCCTTCAAATAACTTTAAAGTGGCATGGTTGGATCTTCTATTATTTTTATCATTAGCCCATGTTTTTTAAATAAATTTTCCATTTTAAATACATGTGAGGAAACATTTTCTTCTTCATATAATTGGACCATATTTAACACAGGGCTATTTTTAATAGTAATAGTTACTCTTATTTTAATTACTGTAATTTGTTTAAATAAAATAAGTTGCTTTTATTTGTTTAATTAGTTGAATTTCATTAAAAATATCACCCCGCCTTAAATTTTTTTATCAAATTTTAACTTTTTACAGTCAATACGGTTGATTTTTTTACCAATATTTGAATTGAAATAAATCTACAAAAAATATAACTCATTTTACTAAAAAGAAAAGGTTCCCCACGTGTATTTATAATGAAAAAAAATTATGGAGTAACAAAAGAATTAATATAAGGACCAACCACGCAATACAAACGTGACTTGAAGGACTATTTGTGAAAATTTTAAAGTTGAAAGCTAAGACTAATCATGCAATGCTAACATGACTTGAATGACTATTCGTGAAATTTTCAAAATTGAAAGACTAACTGTGTATGAGGCAATACCTTGAAGGATCAACGGTGGAATTTAACCTATTCCCATTTTTGTAAAAAAAGACTAATATACCCAAAAAAAAGTCTTACATTATACTTCATTCAACTTGACTTGATATAACAAGTTATTTAAAGAATTTGACTTTCTCTTTATTCTCGATGTTAAGGATATAATTAGAAGGTCAAACTACAAAATAAATCTGTTTTAGTATACGTTTGACTGAAATTATTTTGATATCATTGGATATGAAAAATAGTGTAAAATTAGGAAATAAAAATTGCATATTTAAAATTTATATCAAAATATATATACAAAACTAGTAATGACATGGCTATACTCCGTATTATTTTATCAAATTACTAACAAAAATATGAAAAAAAAATAAATAAAGTTTAACTTTGTGAATAATTAACACAGAATTTAATTTGGGACGGAGAAAGTACTATTAACGCACATACATAAAAAAGAGAGAATTACAAGTTTATCTGATGGAATGAACATATTTTTACTGTTGTTCATTGCACATTAATAGTGATTTTTTTAAAATGATAGTAATAGTATCATGCAAAAAAATTGCATAAATCAATCGTTCATTATTAGCATATTCACCAAAATTCTTATATCAAACATCTACAAGTTAGATATAAGACATTATTTTATTTATAAACTATTTTTCTTAATCATTATGAACGCGATTCGACCTAACCCGCAGGTATTCGTACAGGCTGAGTTCGGGTTTCAATTGTTAGGCCCGAAAAATGGGCTAGGCCGGGCTCGGGTCTAGAATACGTACTCTCGTAATGTAGTATTTCGGCCCGGCCCCAAATCTTTCATGACCCACAATTTAATCTCGTCTAATCCAAGTATATAAGGTCATCCGGTGTACCACGAGAAAGGAAAGGGGAAGGGTGATGTGGCAGCGGGAAGGGAAGAGGAACACCGCCCCCCTGCTTCCCTATCCGGGAACGGGAAAGGCGGGGACACCACCCCCTCCTCTTCCCCTGTTTTTGCCGTCCGATTTTCCTTTTTTATTTATTTTGCTTTTTTCGTCTCCACCCTTAGGTCTTTCTCCTTTTGACGCTTCTTTCTTCTTTCTTTATTTTTTTCTTTACTTTGCTACTTCTTTTCCAAATTTTAGTTTTTAATTATTTTTCGGTTTTTTTATTTTCTCTTTTTTAATTTGAATTTTTCCAGTTTTTCAATTTTTTTAAATTTATTTTTTATTTTTATTTTTTGTAAATTTGTAATATTTAATTGTATTTTATGTTTTTACTTCAATTATTTTAATTAAAACAAGTGCGAAAACAAGTTTAAATTTAGTTTCAATTATTTTAATGTATCAATTTTATTAAAATTTTAGTTTAATTTGAGTGTATCACTTTAAATTTTAATGAAATGTTCAATTATATTAAATTTAATAAAATAAAAGCTTGAAGTAAATTTTTATTGTTTTTAGTTTAATTATTTATATTCAAATAAATTTTAAAAAATAATAATAAAAATATTAAAAATTTAAGGGAAAAGGGAAAGACATTTTCTTGAAATGAGAAGGATAGGAAAAGAGAAAACTGAAACTGACGTGACACTAAGTTCGCAAAGTAGAAATCATGAAGGCGGGCCCTAAGAAAAGAATGACGGTAAATTCGTGTGGGCCGGCAAACTTGAGTTCTACCATCTTGTCCATAGCCGCATAAAAACTTGTTTCCGAATTATCATAAATTCATAACTGCCCAGGTTGGAACACATTAACCATTGTTTGTTGTTGATCTACCATTTCCACAAGTTAATGTGTGATGATTGCAACTGTTGATGAATTATTTCCGCGTAACTTGGAGCCCCCCCAAACCCCCACCCGCTAGAGTACCTAACTCATAAGTTATTTGACTTTTTGACCCAAAAGTCAAATAAATTTGAAGAACAAAATTGAAAGGGTTTAGGGTAAGTCCGGGTCGGGTTGGGGTGGGGTTCACCAGGAGGGTTAAGAAGGGTTTATGGTAGGTCCGGGTCGGGTTGGGGTGGGGGTTCACCAGGAGGGTTAAGAAGGGCATGAACCATTAGCTTCACAATCGAAGCACCGTATGTACTCCTATTGGAGTTGTTGTCATATTATGACATTATTTTTTGTTGTCAAAAGATGGAGGGTGTTGTGATGTTGTTTAAGAGAAGCTAAAACATTGTTGATAAACCTTGATACATACAGTAAATTTTGCAAGTAAACATGTAATGTAAATCATTCCGAGTATGGATGGGAGACATGCAATGCAATGACTACTACAATAGCACTTGAAATCTTCTTACAGATTGTGTCCAAACAGATAGCAACTCCCCGGCCATTTTTATCTACCGCTACACTCGATTAACGTTTCAGGCAGTATTTACCGCAGTTATTTTGGAAGTTTACAGTCTGTTCTATCATTGCATACTTGTTCCTGCATACATAAAAAAATACCACCAAATCTCCTGATGCATTAGTCACTAAACGTGCAAAAATGTTTTCTAATACCAGAGTTATAATTGCAGGAATTAGATAGGCCATTGTTGGCTTATCGATGCTTCAAAAGCGTTAAAGCGGTGTTGGAGGCTGGATAGTTTCTATAATTCTATCTAACCTTGTTCCTCCGCAATTCCAAAACTTCTTCTAAAGATGGTCGGCCTAATGACAAAACACAAAACAAAGAAAAATGTTATTGCCAAAGCCCGATCTCCTCAGTGGGTATGTAGTATTTAGAATCTCGGAAAATCCACATACCAAATCCAAATGGAATTAATTCCTTCAATAGAAAGTTTGTTCGATTATGCAGTGTTTTTGGGAACTAGCATTTCATTTCAATTCTAGCATTTCAATTCCGAAACGTGAATTCTTGAGTTTCAAATGACAAGGGGATGTATATGGATTTCAAATTAAGGTTTCCAAACATGGAATTTTGAAGCAAATTTAGATTTGAAATCCATATCCAAGTTCCCAAGCACACCATAAAAGAATTCATCTAGTCTGATGCCGCAGCATGCCATTCCATTGGCAAGTCCATGGAAGTAAGAAGGTACATTTTGTTTAATTTCTGCATAGGTCAGAAGCATATGATAAAATTACATACCTGTAAGTTGGAGACGATATTTAGCCCAAACACCATAAACAGCGCGTGCAATTGTTCCAATCTGTGAATGATAAAATGCTATCAATGAGCAAGGTCCCCCTCCCCACGCAAGGCACACACAAAAGCCAATAAGATGTAACAAGACAAACGAATTGTTGTTCATCGGAAGGATACACTTACAGGTTCATATTTGGTTATTGCATACACCCATCCCAGCCCAACTGTGTCATACAACTTTCTAAATGCCTGCACAAGTCTTATTTTTAATGTTGGGCGAATAGTATGGGTGCCTCCCTGGTTTACAAAACGGGCGCCAAAACCCCCTCTATTTTCAATTGTAAAACCTTCGTGGTTTTTAAATAGTACACAAACGCCCCATCTGACCTATTTTTAGAGTAAAAATGATATTTATGCCCTTTCTTTTCCTCTATCTTTAAGTTTCACTCTTTTATTTTCATTTTTCCTTTATCAAATAAAATAAAATATACACTCTCTATCTCAAATTAAAATTTTACATTTATTTAATTTTTAAAACCAAATATTTTTTTTAGAAAACGTTACAAAAGTAAATGAAAAATAAAAAAAATGAAATAAAATACACTTTTTTATTTTAAGTAAAAGTAAAATAAATAAAATAAAAAAATTAGATAGCATATACTCACTCTATCTAAAATTAAAAATTTTAATTTATTTGTTATTTTAAAAGAAAACTAATTTTCTAGGGACTTTAAAAAAATGAACGGAAAGATGAAATAAAATACGGAGTACAAAATAAAAGAAAAAGATTGTTTTTAATTTTTTTTTCTTTTCAATACCTTTTTCAATTGTTTTTTCTTTTACCTCGTACATAATATTTTATTTCATTTTTCTATTTTTCATTTTCTTTTGTAACATTCTCCCAAAAAAATCTTTTGTTTTCAAAAATACATAAATGAAAATTTTTTATATGAGACGGAGAGCATATATTTTATTTTATTTATTTGTATAATAAAAGAAAATAAAAGAGCGAAACTTCAAAGTAGAGGAAAAGAAAGGGGTTAAATGTCATTTTAACTCTAAAAATAGGTAAGGGGGGCTTTTGTGCTCTATTTAGAAACAATAGGGACTTTACAAATAACTTTTGAAAATAGAAGGGATTTTGACGCCCTTTTCGTAAACAACAGGGAGCACCCATGCTATTAGGTCTTTAAATGTTCAATCTTTAGAGCAGTTCTCCATAAAAATTGGGAAAATGCGCTTACTTCGACATCAGTAACTACACTTCCATCTGAGAGGATGGCATGAATGTTTCCCATAACCTAAACAAACAAGTATTTTTCACATGATTAAAGTACAAAAACACATTTTTAGATTAAAAAAAACTAGTAACCTTTTCTTTTTGAGGCACTAATCACGGGCCCTGTTCGGAAACAATGAGATGTTAGCAGTTTGATGGATGTTTGTACTAATTGTTTATTGTGACAGCTATGATACCCCAAAAATCTCCTTTCCAAACACCCCCCTATATTCATGTAGCCAAAATCTTCTCATATTTTGCAATTGACTAATTCATTCATTCATTAGGTATGAATGGGATTTGATGATTCCGAGCAAAGAGACATACCGTTTTGTAGTCTAGCCCCATATTATCGTCCGGAGAGTAAGCCTCGGAGCTTATGTCCACAAACTTGATAGTACCATACTGCTTGTTTCTCTCTTGCAGCATCTTCACCTGAAAAAACCAATTACCTCCACAATCCTCATGAACATATGAACAAACACATAGAGTGCCGAGAAGGACCAGACCTCTCTCATACAAAGCGGACAATCTCCATCATACAGCATCTTAATCTTCCAATTCTCGGGTCCTGATGGTTCTCTTAATCTCCCCATTCCAGCCGCCTTCTCACTTATACATCTAATTTCAAATTTAAACCCTGCGTCAAATCAAATTAACCCATATGCATAAGTTCATGCCACCACTCAAACCCGACCAAAACTCCACTTTTTCAATTTTAATCTCTCCAAATCAAAGAATCGGCGTATAAAAAGAGGAGAAATTTTAAAAAAAAAACATGAAGGAAGTTGTTAATACTTGCCTGCAGGCTGATGAATTGAATATGATGGGAACCTCTGAGAAGAAGCGGGGCGAGGAAGATGAGGATGGTGTCTCAGACGAGGAATGGATATCAGAGAAGAGCATATTTGCCTTCCTCCAATGATACGATACCCTGCTCTCACAGCCATTTCCAATTCTTCTTTCCTTCCAAAATCCCCAAATTTGGAGGACGGTTAAGACAACGAAGTAACGAACCCGTTACTTGTTGCCTAGCATTTTCCTTTATTAAGGAGTATAATTTTTTAATCTCACATAGTTTTTTTTTCTTTGATTCACTTCAATAGTTTCTTTACTTTTTATCTTTACTAGATTCATACCCGTGCGTTGCACGGACAAAAGTTTGTTACTCCCTCCGCCTTTAAATTAACTTTTCATTTAAACTTTCTCCGTCTCCATGCAACAATTTGATCATTAACTTTTCATCATTGTATTTTTGTAATATGTGGTCAAAGTTTAAAAAACATGGTTGCAAAAGTCAATCTGGAAAGTTAATTTTAGGATAGAAGAAGTATTTATTAAGAATATAAGATTATTTTTTATTTCATACTTCAGGATGTATTAATATATGCAAATATTATAAATTGTAATTTAGGAGATAACAAATTCTTTTACATTTCAAAAGTGTAAGCAAAATCATTACAAAATACATTGCTTCAACATCGATAGATTATGAAAGACTTCTTTATAAACAATATTTATTGTGGAACGTTTAAGTTCTCCACGTTCATCACATATTAGTATTTTTAAACCCGATCATAACTCTCGAAACCGCAACATATAATTGTTCATGGCTGAAAATAAATTTTTTTAAGAAAAAATCCTACGTGAGACAATGATTGGCTCTGACTTTTGTTAATGGTCATTGCATAGGAAACCATTGTAGAAAATATCTTCTTTGAAATTTGAAAGGAATACATGGATATGAAGGAGTTAATGGCAATCTTGGGATCAATACCTCTTGGCCCATATGTGTACCTGTCAGAATTCTTCCTTGTATTGAATGAGTCGCCAAAATCAGCATGTTTTGCTCGTGTTTCATCTGAGCAATTTTCAACTTCATTTTCCATCTTGATTTGATCTTTAGGCACAGGATCAAAAGACCAACATTGTTGCAAATATTGAGTTACAAAATCAGCATGTTTAGCTCGAGTTTCATTTGAGCAATTTTCAATTACACGCGGGGACCGAATTGTGTCAATTGAAATTGCTGTACAAAGCTCACAATTTTTTGAATTGTGCAAATTGTTTAAAGAAGTGTGAATAGAACCTTCTAAAGATAAAGGTTAATTGAATATTTTATTTTAAAAAATTTTCATAGATGTATTTAAAATGAGAAGATATTATAAAAATTTGTTTATTCCGTGGTTGATTATTTTTATTTAATGTAATTTTTAATTTTTAATAACATACTCCATATTAATTCAAAATAAAATTATTTTTAGAAATAATGAAATAATCTTAAAGGAACACAACACTAATTACTTTTAGATCTAAAATATATGTAGCCTTCCTTTTCTTAAACCAATACCCCTTATCCGGAACCTCCCATTTTCTTTTCACCACTCGTTCATTTCTTCCTTTTTCTCATCTCACCATTTTCGGTTTAACATCTCTCTTCCGTTTTCATTCTCTTTTTTCGTTCTCATTTATTTTCATTATTTTCTCTCTTCCTATATCATTTGCTTCATCTTCAGATCTAGAGTCTTCGTAGTGGTTGTTAAGCAAGTTTGAAGGGAGAAATCATTTTTTTTATTTCATGTCTCCTATATATAAAACTGAAATTTCCTTGTAAGGTTCTATATCATCTGCTTTATTTTTCAGATCTAAATTCTCCGTAGTGATTGTTAACCAAGTTTGAAGGGAGAAATCAAAAACTTTTTTATTTCATATGTCCAATATATAAATTTGAAATTTTTTGGTTGTAAAATTTAAAATATCAATGTTTTAAAACATGCACGCTGTTTTTTGTCCAGATCTAAAGGGGGACAGAGCAGGGAACACAAATCTTTTTAGAATACTTAGATCTAAAGCATTTAATTTTTTTTTTTTGCGTTTTTGTTTTTTTACTTTAGTGGGTAAATTAGGATTTCTTGATTAATTGCTTATGGTCTCTTCCATGGAAGTCATTTCATTTTTTAAGATATAAAATTTCTGGTTCTTTAAAACATGCATGAGGTTCTATTTTTTCAAGTCTAAATTCCATTGTCTATTTTTTTTCTACCCTGAATCTGGGTTGTTCGGATTAAAAGACTTTTTTTTTTGCTTTTTTGGTTGTAAATCTTGTTTTGTAGTTACATTTTGAAGCAGGCGTGTGGAACTCTAGCCGAAGAACATTTCATGAAATTAAATTCTCCATGTTATCGGCAAGGTATTATATATATTTTAATCATTTATTTAATGTATCAATCTTATTTTATAATAAAATTGGGAAATTTATTTTTCATTTATGAAATCAAAATTACCAAAAGAAATAAAGAATAATTATATCCTACCTTCACTTAATTGTGAGTTTTTTCTTTTGGTTCCACATATTTGTCCACACTTAGTCATTTTCTACATCACTATTACTCTCAAGATTTTTTCAAAACATTTTTCTCTCAATTTTTTGGTTTTCGATTAAATTCCACATTGCTTATTCTTTCCAAAAACCTGTAAAAGAAGAGAATATAAAAAGTCAGTGATAGTTGTCATTAAAGGGGTGTATCTTTCATATTTAATTTTGCTTCATAATTAAAACATATTTTTTTCAAATATAGAACAATTCCAGAATAAGATAACTGCTCTTGTAATGGTTTTAAAAATGAGTAAATTTACAACACACACCCACACATTTATCTTTGTTTAATATAAGTCATTCATCTTGTCACAGGACAATGCAGAATTGGTTTCAATTAGAAATATCCAAGGAAATATAATCTATAAATAAAAGAGGTAGGTATGTTTTTAAACATTTAATTACTACTTTCCTAGAGTTAAAATGACGATTTTCAAAAGACTTTATGTAATGATCAATAAGTTATACTCTAAAGAAATACTTATTGAAACCAATATAAAAATTAATATACCTCCATATACATCTCCTCACAGTCTACCATTGATTCCAAGCTTCAGTGTAAGTCGTAGAAGTGTAACTTTTTTAAAGAATTTCGTAGGGAAATGGAGTAGTAAGGGGTTAAGAGTGTATGAATTTATATAGGAAATACTTAAAGAAAATTCTAGACCTTGAACTTATTAAAACATTGAATGTTTTTACGGCTGTAATAATTGGCATTCCAAAAGTTTTTTGACTCATTGGTAATATTAATTAATGTGTAATTATACGATTTTTTTATATGCATACGGTTGAAATAAATNAGAATTTCGTAGGGAAATGGAGTAGTAAGGGGTTAAGAGTGTATGAATTTATATAGGAAATACTTAAAGAAAATTCTAGACCTTGAACTTATTAAAACATTGAATGTTTTTACGGCTGTAATAATTGGCATTCCAAAAGTTTTTTGACTCATTGGTAATATTAATTAATGTGTAATTATACGATTTTTTTATATGCATACGGTTGAAATAAATACAAAGGTACTCCAAAGGTTTTTTTTACTTCTTCATAGTTGAAAATGTTTTAACTCAATCAAAGGGTTTTTTTTAATTATTTAAAAAAAAATTAAAATGTAAGAAATATGAAAAACATAAGGAATATTCATATTAATCTGCAGTTATATATTAAGCTGTAAATATATAAAAAGTTTTTATATCATTTCTTCATTTTAACTCCAAGAAATAAATATAAATTAATAACTACGTTTTTTTAGCTTGACTCCAAGAAATTTATTCATTTTAACTCCAAGAAATAAATATAAATTAATAATTTCGTTTTTTCTCTTGACTCCAAGAAATTGATATAAAATAATAAATTGAAAATTCTAGACATTGAACTTATTAAAACATTGAATGCTTTGCAGTTGTAATAATAAGAATGGTACTCCAAAGGTTTTTTAATTTAATCAAAGGGTTTATTTTAATTATTTTGAAATTTGTAGATATATGGAAAACCTAATGAAAATTAAAATTAATTTGCAGTTATATATTAAGTTGTCGATATATCAAAATTTTTTATATCATTAATTTATTTTAACTCCAAGAAATAAATATAAATTAATAACCATGATTCTTTTTTAGCTTGCAAAAAAACAATTTAAAAAGTACACTCCTTATACATTATTTTTTTATATTGACTCCAAGAAATTGATATAAATTAATAAGTACGAATTTATTTTAGCTTGCCAAGAAAGATTTTAAAAATCACCCATTATATATTTATATATCATCATTTCTTTAGTTTGAATTGACAATAACATAGGTTTTTTAGTTCACCAAAAAAATTACAACGAAGCTTGGAATCAAGAATAAATTTATTTGAGAAATACCTAAAGGTATAAATATTTTTATTTTTTTCATTTATTTTGTTAATAGATTATGGTTAAGGATAGATTTCTTAACTCCACATACAATTATGAGATTAAATAATTAAATTGGATGCAATGTTCTCAGTCTTATTTTTTAATACTAATTTTATAAAATTTGTGTTAATTTGGTACATGAAGAAATCATTTCTCGTCCTTTTAATAATTATAGTTTAAAACAATAGTTGATTAGTTGGTATTTGGTAAAAAACTACATATATACTCCCTCCATTTTTAAAATACTTCATCTTTCATTTTTTTCACTTCCAACAAAACACTTCCACTTTTTATTAAAAAACCACTTTTACCCTTACTTTTTCATACCCTACCTATCACATCATACTTTTTCTCTAATAATCTATTCATCACATCTTACTTTTACCCATCACATCAGGGGCAAAATTGGAAGTCAACTATAATTTAACACTTCCTTATTTTTGCTCTAAGTCAAAATAGGAAGTCTTTTTGCAAACGGAGGGAGTATAAAGTTGTAGATAAATAAAATGGTACCATATTATTTATTTATTTTCAATGCAACGAATAAATTTAAATTAATACTATGATGTTTTTAAAGAATCATCAATGAAATCTTCATTAATACTCAAGAGAATATAAAATATAAGAGAATAATGAATGGACTTTTTTAATCCAAACTTTTGGTTCATATTCATTCATTACAACAAAGAATGCAGCGGTTCTTATACATTGATTAAGAAAGAAAAATGAGAAGTGCAAAGGTCTTCCTCAACAATCCCAAAGGACAATTGATGTTAGAAATTAATGGTGGTGGGCGGCACATATTTCTTTGAACAATCCTAAAGCACAACTATAACCATAGATTTATCATGGATTGGAGTTTCACGGTCCAGATTTTTTCTCTCTTTTTTTTTGTTTGTTACCCCCAAAATCTTTTGCTTTTATATATAGTATAGATTTCAAAATATTTATTTTATTTTCAATCAATCAAATTTAATACTCATTCTGTTCTAAAACGTTCTTCCCACTTCCCCTTTTTCTCCGTCCTAAAACTACCTTCCCATTAGAAAAAAAAGATGACAAATGACATTAATACCCTCATGTATTTACACCAATTATCTTGTAACTCTATATTTTGAATGATTGAAAAAAAATCAAAAAATCTTTTTTAAGGAGAGTAAAATTTGAAGTCAAAGCCAAAAATTAAAAATGAGGAAAAGTCAAACTAGAAAGAAAGAATTAGGACGGAGGGAGTATTTAATTTCATACCCAATCAAAACTTTTCATCTCTTGATGCATATTATTCCCCTTCTCACTTTCCCCTACCATCTCTAACCATTCCTCATTGCCTCATAGGTTATTTTTATCCATATTCCCTCCCATTAGTGATGTTTTAAGTACTAGCATGTGTAGCTCAGCTGGTCTAAGGAGAAAATGTCAAACTCATTGATCCTTAGATCGAATTTCGGCAATGGTAGTGTAATAGTTTTATTATTTGTAATAGTTTCTTGTGTGTACCCAGCACGAGACAACCTCTCTAAGGACCATATTAAGATTATACCATAATTTATACCCTTTCTATATAAATGTTAATACATGTGAATTATTATTAAAACTACAAATTTTATTTTAAAAGATATCATATTTAGTATTTAAAATATACTCCGTATTTAGTAGAAAAAAATATAATTATTATAATTACACTATTGTTATATTACGATTCAAAGTATTTATCAAAATCTTAAAATTACAAAATAATGTATATGAGTTCTTGGATTAATAATAATTTTTCTACTTTGAACATTATTTCTTTATGAGAATACTTTAGATTTTCGTGAATGAAGTCTGAAGCATTAGAATGTCTTGGAAGTCGAATAAAGACTGAATTTGACCAAATTCCACGAACGTTTGCGTCCAAAAGTCGGAAGTCTGCGATTATCCCTATTGTGCGAAAATTTGCAAATCTTTATGCAAAACATCGTGTCTGATCGGTCATCTTCATCTCTATGGTTGCAAATACAATTCAAAAAGGCTTGGTCTTGATTAACGATATATCCGATTGAAGTATTTCGTATACTCCGAAATAACTTTGATCTTTAAGCATTTTACGCGATTCGTGATACTATATCAAGTCATTTTTCTCATTCTTTGTTAACGCTGCTCCGCAGCATTCCTTCTTCATATTGTATTCCTACAAATTGAAAGCCTTGTGTACTTAGAAAAAATACTCTACTAATTAACAGTTGTGCTAATAGTAGAAGTTATATGATAAAAAAATCTTGTTGTTTCTCAATTCACAACTTTTTTCCAAGGAACTAAAAAATAGAAAGCAAGACAGCAAGATTGTTGAAAAAGAAACATATTTGAAAAATTGAAATTAAACTTTAAATATCCACTTTAAACATTCTTCTTTTTTCGCATTCCCGCCATTCATGCCTACGAGCCCTCAACGATCCCGATCTTGTGGCTCGGCCGTTCATTTTAAAAGACGACAAGTTTTTGCTATAAATAAGATGTGGGATGGGGGGTCCGTCATATATGGAGGAAATTACATTTTTCTCTCCACTTTTAAGAAGATGATGATAGTCACACATACTAAAACACTAAATACACCCGTTAAATAAATACACTGGCAAGGAACCAAGTCAACTATAAAGAAAACCCCCTTAATAAGAGTAAAACATATGTCATATTCACAAAATAAGAGTTCAAACTTAAACTCCTCTAAATAGGAGTAATTAATTAAGTAATAATGAAAAAATAGTATTAAATATCTAATTAATCTCTTCTCTCTCTAGTCCATCTCCTCACGGCCACCCCACCACGTTTCTCTATCTTCCCTCTCTCTAATTAAAAAATATCTCATCACGGCCACCCCATTCATCTTTTTTTTCTCCGAAAAATTGTATCTTCATTAGGAATTGATTTTGGTTTGGTTTTTTCTTCTCATTTTTGTATTTGATTGTTTTTCCTTTTAATTTTTTTTGTTTGATTGTTTTCCTATTAGTTGTGTTTAAATTTTACTCCAAATTTTAGCAAAATTTGGTGATAGTAATAAGAAATTTGACATTGTATGTTGGCAATCTTGACATTTCACTTTCATTTTTACATTTATATTGACATGATTGACATTACACAATAACATGTTTGGCATTATGCAATGACAGGTTTGTCAGTATGCATTATCGTCTTTGACATTGTGGTTTTGGTTGACATTGTATTGGAATTGAAAGCTTTCTCCCTTAGTAGTAACACCATGGCATTATGGTGGCGACAATGGGAGTAAATTCTGACATTGAGAGCAAAAAATGGGGGCGATGGAGGCAGCATCCGTAACAAATGGGCATGAGAGCGGTAGATCGCGGTGGCTATGACGGCGATAGTTCCAACCGTGGCGGTGTTAGTGGCAGCAACAATGTAGATGGTGGCCGCATTTAATAGCAATGGCAGCAAGAGATTGTGGCGATGGAGTGACGGGAGCGACAGTACCGACGATGGCGGCAAGAGTGGCGTCAGTGACATGTACGAACAAGGGCTGTAGTTAATTTAGAATTTTTTTAATTGATAAAATGTATTTAATTTCATTGTAATATGAATATAACTTCTATTTTGGTACATGGTCGATGTTTTATTTCTATTTCGCTCCTTAACTCTAAATCATTAGATTAATTAAGTTAATTACTCGTATTTAGAGGAGTTTATTTCTCAACTCTTACTTTGAGGATATGTCATTTATTTTACTACTACTTTGGTCCTTCTCCCCTCAATTATAAGCTCAAGCTTGTGGTTGTGGCTCAGGAACAGTTATTTATCTCTAACACTCCCCCTCACGTGTAGGCGTAGTCTTTTTCGAGTCTTGCACGTGAAACCTTAATTTTTTTTAAACTGGGTGGCGCTGGGTTTTGAACCCGTGACCTCTTAGTGTACGAGGCTCCGATACCATGTCAAGGAACCAACTCAACCATAAGCTCAAGCTTGTGGTTGTGGCCCAAGAACAATTATTTATATTCTAACATACACCCAGGATATATAGGTTATTATTCAAAAAAGTGATTACTTTATTATGTTAAAAACATTGTAAAACAATGTTTAAAACTATTCATCATTTTATTACTTTTCAAATAAAAATATATATTCACTCTGTTCCAAAAAGATAGGTACATATTAAGTTTTTGTGAAATTAAGCCAGAGACTATTGGTGGAGCAATAGTTTAATTTATTTCAAAAGTCAAAGCAATTGCACCTAATATATGGGGTAAAACTTTCCCGGCCTCAACTTTTTATTCTCACTTTCTCAGAACCAATTCAAGAGTAACTATGGAAAGAGAGTGAAGAATATTTAGGCCTCGTTCCGTTCAACTTATTTTTTCTTATTCTTATTAAAATCAGATCAGATCAGATCAGACCAGACCAGATCAGATCGAATCAGATCAGACCAGATCAGATCAGATCCAATCAGATCAGATCAGATCAGATCAGATCAGATCAGATCCAATCAGATCAGATCAGATCCAATCAGATCAGATCAGATCCAATCAGATCAGATCCTATCAGATCAGATCAGATCCAATCAGATCAGATCAGGACTTATTAAAATAAGATCTCTTCAAGAATTATTATTATTATTATTATTATTATTATTATATTATTATTATTATTATTATATTATTATTATTATTATTATTATTATTATTATGATCATCATCATCATCATCGTCATTATTATTATTATTATTATTATTCTTAAAAATGAAAAAGAATAAACTTTAGAAATAGGTTAAATAAAAAGCTAAGAAAGTAATCCTTAATTATTAGACGTCGGAAAAATTAGTTTTAAAATACATTGACAATGTCAATCTAATTCTACTTTTAAAATATATTTTTATTGCTACTTGTAATTTGAGTTTCTAAACTTTTGATCTTTTATAAGGATGAGATATTTTAATAAAAATACTATCTCTTCTATATATTGATTATCTAAATTTAATTACTTTTAAATGTATATCTAAATTAAATGTTTATTCTAATGTATAATTCTAATTTTACAAAAAAATTATCATAAAATAAAAAATATTATTACATTATAATATGAATGATTATTCTAATATATGAATTAACTATTTTTATTTTATTAAAAAATAATCATTAAATAAAAAATATTGATTATATTATAATATTAATTATCATTACAATTTTCAAACGTTATTATAAAGTCAAATTAAATTATTGATTTGAAATTTTAAATTAAATCATAATTAATCAGATCCAATCAGATCAGATCCAATCAGATCAGATCAGATCAGATCCAATCAGATCA